TTCGGCTCAGGTCATGATCCTGGAGTCCCTGGATTGAGTCCCGCATCAGGCTCCCTGCTCAGCGGGGAGTCTGCTTCTCCCTCTGACCCTCCCCCCTCTTATGTGCTCTCTCTCAAATAAATAAATAAAATCTTAAAAAAAAAAAAAAAGTTAGGGTTTTACCATATTGAATGGACTGGATGCTGCCAAAGCCCCTACCCTTTATATAAGTCAGATGGCCACTTGGCACATACAGGAGTTGAGACAACAGTCCGGGGTCCTGAGAGGGCTGCCTTGGCTCTGTTTTCTATATTGGCGACATTGTAGTTCATAGATATTTCGGTCAAGTGGACTTAGGAGTTGTGTCCTTTGCCTAAATTTTGTAGGGTACAAGATTGTAAGTGGCTTAAAATAATTCTTACATAGAAATCCTGAATTGAAGATGATTTAATTATTTAAGCATTGAGTCAGGTAATACTTGCAAAGTGCTTAGAATCCTTCCTGGTGCATGGTGAGGCCCTGGGAATGTGGGTGGATGGGGGGTAACCAAGCAGGAGTAGGCTCTAAGAATCTCTGGGGGTGACCGTTCTCCTCCAACCAGCTGCCCTTCAGCTGTCCCCCGGAATACAAGCAATAGCATTCTCATGAGATAGGGCACTGAATGATGGTGCCCTCACAAAAAACATTACTGGATGTTTTAGTGAGTAAGACAGGTGTTCTAGTGGTAATAATACATTTAAAAAATAGGTTATTTCATCCTTACCTTGTCTGTTTGTTTTACTTTTTATTATGGAGATTTCCAGACATACAGCAGTAGACAGAATAGCATTGTAAACTGCCTTCAATAATTATCATCTGTGTTAATAATTGTCAACTCAGGGCCAATTATGGTTCACTTATAATCCCACTTCTCTCTCTTTGTATTATTTTGAAGCAAATCCCAATCATCATATTAATTTATCTGTAAGCATTCTGGTATATATCCTTATAGGTAAGAACTCATCTTTGTTTTTAAAACTTAATGACAATGCCATTGTCACATCTTTTTTTTTTTTTATAAACATATTTTTTCCTGGAGAGCTGAATTTTTAGCATTTACGAGCACCATCTTTTTATTTTTTTTGTTTTAAAGATTTTATTTATTTATTCATGAGAGACAGGGAGAGAGGCAGAGGCAGAGGGAGAAGCAGGCCAGGACCCTGAGATCATGACCCGAGCCGAAGGCAGATGCTTAACCCACTGAGCCACCCAGGCCCCCATTGTCACATCTAAAAAAAGGAACATTTTCTGCACATCAAATACCCTCTCACCCTCTGTCAGGTGTTTCCTCTTTTGGAATCAGTATGCAAATAAGATTGGAGCTCTTTTTTTTTGTTTTAAGATTTTATTTATTTATTTGAGACACAGAGATAGAGAGAGAGCATGAGCAGGGGGAGAGGCAGAGGGGGAGAAGCAGGCTCCCCGCTGAGTGAGGAGCCCCATGCGGGGCTCGATCCCAGGACCCTGGGATCATGACCTGAGCCGAAGGTAGACGCTTAACCGTCTGAGCCACGCAGGGGCCCCTGGAGTTCATTTGTTGGAGAAACAGGTTGTCCTGTGGAACTCCTGGCCGTCGGATGTATTACTTGCCATCCCATTGTGTAAATTAACATATTTCTTTGTCTCTGTATTTCCTATAAATTGATAATAAGCTAGAGTCTTGTCGGATTTAGTGTACATTTTATAATGTACATGATATCTGAGTTCTGTAGTACTTCTGTAACTTTTTTTTTTTTTAAAGATTTTATTTTTATTTATTTGAGAGAGAGAGAATGAGAGAGAGAGAACACCTGAGAGGGGATAGGGTCAGAGGACAAAGCAGACTCCCTGCCGAGCAGGAAGCCCGATGCGGGACTCGATCCAGGGACTTCCAGGATCATGACCTGAGCTGAAGGCAGTCGCTTAACCAACTGAGCCACCCAGGCGCCCGACTTCTGTAACATTTTTTAAAAAGATTTTATTTATTTGAGAGAGAGCGTGAAAGAGAGAGAGGGAGAGAACATGCACAGGGGTGGAGGAGGGGCAGAGGGAGAAGCAGGCTCCTCGCTGAGCAGGGAGCCTGACTCAGGGCTCGATCCCAGGACCCCAGGATCATGACCTCAGCCGAAGGCAGATGCCTAACCGACTGAGCCATCCAGGCACCCCTATGATATTTTAAAATAAATATGTAACTATTAGGATTACATACTCAGAATTTTCTTCTGCTGTTTTAAGAAAAAGCCTGCTTAGTCAAGAAATTTTGGAGACCATTGGTCTACTGGGATAAGCAAGCAAACAATCACTAGATGGTGTGGTAAGGTGGGGGGTGGGGGGTGCTGTAGGGGCACAAAGTGGGGAGCCCCTGTCTCATCAAGGTCAGGGAGGCATACTGGAGAAGTACGAGCTGATGCTGATGGGTGAGTGGGATTTGATCAGACACAGGGAGTTGGGGGAAGTTTTATAGACAGACCACAGCCTTTCTCCGGTCTGAGGACTGAGCATGAGGGCGAGTGCAGCATGTGGGCGCACGTGCGCAGATGGGCACTGGTGTGGGTCCTGTGAAGGGCTCAGGGCTTCTCGTACATTAGCAGGGGTGCTGGTGCAAGACCAGAGCAGGGCACAGCGGCCTGTTTCTGTAGTGGGCCAACTGTTGAGCTGCACCAGCAGAGCAGAAAAGCAGCCACAGACGATCCACAAAGGTGGCTGCGCTCCAAGAAAACCGTACAGGAAAGGTGTTGGGCCAGATTTGGCCATGGACTGTGGTTTGCAGGCCTGCAGCCCCTGTGGTGATAGGGGCCGCCCTCAGAAGAACGAGGCACCAGCGATTGAAAGAAGCTGCCTCAGAGACTTTTACTTTTTTTTTATACCCTTCTAGATTGGTTTTTTTTTTTTAAACACGTATACTTTTATGATATTAAAGGTAGCGCTGCCCAACTTACCAAATAAACACACAGGGTGTCAGTTAAATTTGAATTGCAGAGACATCATGAGTAATTTTGTGGTGCAGGTATGCCTGAAATTGCACAGGACATAGTTAGGCCGCGAAATTATTTGTTTATCTGAAATTCAAATCTAACTGGGTGCTTAGTATTTTACTGGGCAATGCTAACGAAATGGAAAAAGAGGGGCACCCCGCTGGCTCAGTCTCAGTCTGAAGAGCACGCGACTCTTGATCTCAGAGTCATGAGTTCCAGCCCCATGCTGGGTGTAAAAATTCCCCCCCCAAAAAAAAAATAAGGGGCGCCTGGGTGGCTCAATCAGTGAAGCGTCTGCCTTCAGCTCAGGTTATGATCCCTGGGTCCTGGGATCAAGCCCTGTGTTGGGCTCCCTGCTCAGCGGGGATTCTGCTTCTCCCTTTCTTTCTGCCCCTCCTACCCACTCTCTCTCTCAAATAAGTAAATAAAATCTTTTTTTTTTTTTTTTTAAATTTTTTTTTTTTTTAAAGAATTTATTTATTTATTTGACAGAGAGAGACACAGCAAGAGAGGGAACACAAGCAGGGGGGGTGGGAGAGGGAGAAGCAGGCTTCC